TTTATTCCTCTTTGGAAAATCAACCTGCGGCCAAGCCCATTCCCTTGGTAGCCATATCCTTAATCATGAAATGGGTGAAAACAAAGAAAGAAATGTGAGCCAAACCCAGGGCAAGAGCCATATCACACAGCCAAAAGAGGAGAAGTGATTTGGTAGTTATAGACCTACCTTGAGCTGCACCTGTTCTTACAGGTCCTGATTTTTGGCAAGCTGTTGTCATCCTGAGACCAACAACACGCCCGGAATAACTGCCTCAGACCAAAAAAAAAGAAAAGAAGAAGGATTAAGAAAAACAGGCTATCCGGTACTTAAGAGCAGTGTGAAGGTTTTTTTCTCCACACTGCTGCTACAGCTTCACTAATATCATGATATTATAAAAGCACAAGTTTGGGCAGTTTGTGTGTGTGTGTGTGTGTGTTAACACAATGCCAAGGAGGAAAACATCAGTTTAAATAAGCAACTGTGGCTGCCATTCAAAATCTTGGAAGGGTTATAAGGCCATTTCCAGACAGGTTGCAGTCCTGGGCACCTGCAATGAGAGATGATTCACAAGTGCTAAACCTTCAAGGCAGATGCCAATCTTTACAGGAGTGAATGTTCTAGCAAATTCGCCCCAAGATTAAACCGTGCAGTGCTGAGAGAAACTAAATAAACCCCGAACATTACATCTCACACTTACATCTCAGGCCTCGGTTAGCGTTTTAAAATTCATAACATTAAAATTAAAAAGAGGATGAACAATTATGGCTTTGTGCCTAGTAGTCGTAGCAGCTACTTTTGGCTGTTCCCTTAATCACAATTGGTGACCACAGCTGTAGCTCCCTGCATATCTGGCAGATTTTTATGCCAGCTTCACTTCCTGATGTGTCCCCCAAGAGATTTGTCTGCTCCCAGGATTGAATCGGGGTATTTAACTTGTTAGGCAAATGCGTAAATCATACACTACGGAGCCACTTGCCAGGAGAAAGTCTCTTCTCACTAAAACAACATGGCATCATATCTTAGGTTTGTAAAGTTGCATTTGAACAAACCATGACACTTCTGGAAAAATGTCCTTCAGACAAACGTGACAGAGAAAGTGGAGATGTTCGGCTTTAATGCACAGTTCTAGGTTTGGTGAAAAGAACATGCAGAATATTAGCACAAAGAGCTCATACCAACTGCCAACCACAGTGGTGATGTGGTGATGATTTGGGCTTGTTTGGCAGCAAAGAAACTGGGCACCTTGCAGTCACTGAGTCCACCATGAACTTGTCTGTATACCAACGTATTCTTGGGTCAAATGTAAGCCATCTGTCTGACAGTTAGAGCTTGGCTGAACGTAGGTTATGCAACAGGACAACAGCAGCAAAATAAAAGAATCAAGATGATCTCAATTCTCCACAGCATTTTAGCGTTGGTAAAATTAAACAGAAAATGGTTCCTTCAAGCTCCAAAAAGTTGATTCTGTTCATCTGGATGTGGCGTTTTCAGTGGAGGAAACGTTTCGTCACTCATCCAAGTCTCAGCTGATTGCAGGTTTCCCCAATCTTATAAACAGTACATTTGCATAATGATTGAAACTAGCACCACTGATGAACAATGGGCTGTGAGGTCAGCTTTTTGATTAATATGCAAATTGTCATGACCATCGATCAACAACCATTTCTTCAAGTTATTTCTGCCAAAGGTGATTCTACAAGCTAATAAATAATGGTTCTGTAGTTTTTCCACAATCTGCTTCTGCATGTTGGCTTACTTTTTATTATATAAACAATGATGTGGTGTAATGTCAAATGAGCTGTTGTTCAAGTGAGTTTGCATATAAATAATTGTAAGATTTGGTTTATGTCCTGGTGTGAAAAACCATAGTATTAAGAGGGTTTTACTGTAAATTTAAGTTGAAAAGAATGTGATTCATATGGATATTTAAAGTGTATGAGCAAAATATATTTTTTTATTTAACAAAGCAGGATTTTTAGTTAGTGGGCAGCACGGTGGCACGGTGGTTAGCACTGTTGCCGCACAGCAAGAAGGTCCTGAGTTCAATTCCAACATCAGGCTGGGGTCTTTCTGTGTGGAGTTTGCATGTTCTCCCCGTGTTTGCGTGGGTTCCCTCCGGGTACTCCGGCTTCCTCCCACCGTCCAAAGACATGCAGCTTGAGGGGATAGGTTAATTGGAAAATCCAAATTGCCATTGTGTGAATGTGAGTGCGAATGGTTGTCTGTCCCTGTGTGTTGGCCCTGCGACAGACTGGCGACCTGTCCAGGGTGTACCCCGCCTCTCGCCCTATGATAGCTGGGATAGGCTCCAGCGCCCCCCGCGACCCTGAAAAGGATAAGCGGAAGTGAATGGATGGATGGATTTTTAGTTACATATTACGTTGGTGACATATCTGGCAGTTTAATATCTAAGCTAAAACTTGGGTAACAATGAAATTGCACGTTAGCAAGTGACAAAGCAAAGTTAAATCAGCAGCATAAACACAGATATTTGACTGAAACATAATTTTGAGTCAAATAAAATTTATCTCTATATTTAAAGGATGCTAGAAAAAGTTTGGGTTAGCTAACAAAGCAGAAACTTAGCTGTATTATTCATGTTTATACTTCTAACCTTTCTCAAATGTCCTAATGCATTCCTAAACATAGCAAGTTATCCATAATACTGGTGTGTTTGTCGCTATCCAGGAGTTCAGGATAGTCTTGGACAGGTTTTTCTGGTAATATTTGCCTAGCTCACCTGTGTTTTCATGGTATAACAATGCAAATGCAAGAAGCAATTCCACATTTTAGTGTCATCAAAGATTAGTCAACGTAATAATACTGTAGTAGCAGACTGTGAACTAAAGCTGGCACTGGATCTTTGTGATGTCATCATAAACACTGATCGGCTGAGGTACTTGTGATCCCAGGGGTATCATACAAATGCTGGTCCCTGTGCACCAGCTCCATATGCTCATATCAGTTAGACTTGTGGCTCGAAAAGCCCACGTGCTTGACTGGAGGTGGATTATCGTGGTCCTGAGGATGACTCTGTGATTATGCACGACACCTCAAAGTGCTTTGAGGAAAGGCAGATTTTTGTGGGGGTGTCTTTACGCAGAGCGGACACTAACTTGAGAAGGCATCAGACGGGCGTGTGATTGATGTCTTTGCTAGCGTCTGTAGGCAGGTTAATGGTGTGATTGTGAAGGTAATCTTCGTGTTCTCTCATTAAAGGATGATGGAGGGCCAGCAGACCCTGGAAGATGGAGCCTTGGCTGGTGCCTTCACAAGGAGCTCGGGCTTTTTACATATGCAGTTGGGAGTCTCATTTGATGTATATGCTTTGAGGAAGGCACGCCAGCCAGCAGACTGTCAGTGAAAAGTTGATGACTAGCTGTGGGATCAGCCACCCTGCTGTAGTGGCCATGTAGATGAGGTGTAAGCTCAGGTTGGTGATAGTTTGTCTTGGTGTCACAGAGTGGTGTTGTTGGTTTGCTCATTGTCACGCTGAAGAGAGGAGAAGGAGACTTTTTAGTTACTGCCTTAAAAACAAGCTCTGGGTCACCAAACTGCTCCTCCTCGGGAAGCAAGCATAAAAACAGTGTCTCATCATTGGGAATAAAGCTCGCCTCAGCTGAAGCAGCTCAGTTGTTGATGTACTCATAAGCAAAAGATAAAGCCGGAACGTTATTTATGGTGCCATTGAGCTTCACGCATTTTCACTGTTTGTGCACCAACATGCCAACATTAATGTCATGTTCCAAAGGGACAGGGGAGACGGGTGACTGGGGGAGGAGGGGGGCAAATGGAGGGTGGTGGGAGGGTTAAATATGGGTAGAGCTGAGTGAAACAGAACAGCATAGTGTAGCAGGCAGCTGACTGAGAGCGGCAGACTATTGCATCTGTATTGATTGGGCTCCAGCCTTTTCCATTTTCCATGAACTCCTCGGAGCTGCTCCAAGTGGGAGTGATGGGGGGATTTGCCTGATCTTTATGATATTTCTTTAAACATGATGCTGTCGTTATGCCTCCCTGGGGAAGACACCAGCCATTTCCAGTAAATCAAAGGCTCTGCGTCCCTCGCTGTTTTCCACACACCTTATTTATAACCCCACTAAACCGCCCCCAACACATTGCCACCATTCTCATAAGTGTTTTCTGCCTTTGCAAAATGAATGTTTTTTCTTTTCTTTTTTTTCCTTTGAGTGCAGCCGTACTGATGAGGAGGGGCTTTGCCATACTGCACACTTGACCCACTGTTGTGGAGTCCATTGAGCCAATTCGAGTCTGTAATCAACAGTGACAGAAATGACACGGACAATAGATGACAATAATTTGAATTCTATCTGCTTTTGGAGTGGGGGGCCATTTGAACAAGCCTGATCTGATTTACTGTTGCATGAGGACATGGAGAGGCAGATTCTGACTTACGAAAACAGGCCTGAGGTCTTAGCGGGAGCTGGGAGCAGAGTAACCCACATACCCACTAGTGCAGGTGCCCTCTCCATGGGGCCAGGTGGTAGCTAATTCACTTTCTTTGTCCCTCCTAATGAATCGTTAATTGGTTTGCATCACCCGCAGCGCCAAGGATAGCAGGTGCTGAGTGCTGCTGGTGATGGAGGCCACTGGCAAGTCTCCTCGCACACACCAGCACCTACATTTAACAGGCCAAATGTCACCTCGCAACATGTAGCATCTTGGCAGTGACACAGCAAGGACATGGTCATAGTTTATACCTTGTTTCTCTAGTTGTCGCAGATTATGTACAGTAGAAGCCACGCAGCATTTTTCCGGTATGCACATATAAAAGACAAGCAGGAATGTTTGATTTATTGGCAGGATGCTGTGAGGCTGACCTTTGCTCTCGCTACCATTCATTTATTGCGAGCAATAGGAGAGTTTGCATGCTTTCTGCTCTGTGTAAAAGCGTCAATTTAATGCCTGCAGTGCAAATATTCTGTGCATTGTGAGTTAGTCGTGTGCCAGGATCCTATCAGTCCGTGTTTTCCTTAATGGCATCTTCTCCCCTGCAGGTGGTTGCTCTGAACAAGCGCAGTAAGGAGGCAGAGTCTGCGTTCCTGGGAATCTACAAACAGCTTATCGAGGCCCCAGGTGAGTCTCCCACTAAGACCTGAGATGTGCATCTTCACAAACAACAGCAGCGGCAGCAGCATAAACACCGGCGTTACTCCTAGAATTATGTCTCTCCCTTCCAAGATCCCTCCCCAGAGATCAATTCCCTATCACTGGACCAGGCCTCTAAGTGTACACGCAGAGACATGTCATGCATATGCGAAGAAAAAAAGTAATTTTCTTACCATAGATAGATATGGTGGAACAGTATATGATACAAGATGCATAAAACCCTATAGCCTGTGGCTCTTATCTGTTTTTCAAAGTCTACGCTCTCAGAGTGGTTTCCAAAACTCTGCGTGAGGCCACTTCAAAACCCAGCACTGGTCCTTGAGTGTAGCCTGGCTGAGGAGCGAACACATCCTTGAGGAGCTTTGCTGTTGATTGTGGAGGGCCAATTAAAATCCCAACTGAAGTCTGGCTCTGTGCGGAACGCAGGTCTGATGAGGCCAATGGGGGGAAAAAGGGGGGAAAGACAGTAAGTAAGAGCAGAGGAAAGACGTATTGCGTGTTTATTTAGTTGTTATTTCAATGCCACGCAGGGCACATGTACTGTATTGCTCTTTGTTGCAGGAGACGGCAGCAAAACGCAGCCCAATCTCAGTCTAGATCAGAGAAACACTTGTGGCAGGAGTAGAGAATGCTGTTTACAGATTCAATGAATACAAGATAAAAGTCTGCGTCAGAGAAATAGCGACGGCGGCAACTGACTTTTAAAGGTCTCCATTTTTCCTTGAAGTCCCCTGCTTGATATTGCACCACCACACACATGCACACACCCACACATATACACTCTCACACACTTTGAATGGAGTTATTTCCTTGATAAAGATAGTTTTCTTTGAAGATGTATTCAGTTTGATTTTCTGACCTATACCTTTTATATCGAGGCCTTAATTCAAGCCTAGGAGGGTCTTGTGAGATATATATTGTCAAAAAACTCTCTCAAGTAGCAAATAGAGTCAACTAAGAGTTATGTTATGTTCAAGAACAAAGACTGATAAATTAAAAACAAAAAAAAACAAAAATCAGAGGCTGCTGTCATCCAACACCTGCTGTTAAGAAAAAGCATTTGTTTGCAGGGTAACGACTATCTTTTTTCTATCCGTGTTTCTTTATATCGAGTGTATTTATTCACCCCGCCTGTGGTCATTATATCGAGTATGCAGGAGTAGACATTCCTGTATCAGGTTACATCAGGTGACGTAGCGCAGCCAGCCTCCTACCTCCATTTGACCTTACATTTACAAAGGGAGTCTGTTTCACTGTAGCACTGCGACTCATACAGAGTGAAGCGAGTTGTTTTCACTCTCAGCACTCCGCAAAGGTCAGGGAGTTAGCTATGGTACTGAACACCATGAGGCAGTCATTGCTTGTAACTCCACGGGAGCATGACTGAATACGGTTATAACTACTCAATGAAAACTGTAATAACAGCGTAATGATAACCTTATGTTTAGTGCAACATTGATTTTTATTACTCAGCTGAGCAGAGGTGACAAAATTACAGAATGAAGCTGACAGAAAAACGAAACTTAAAAGTAATTTGTAAGAAGAATTTTCAGAATTTGGATTACATGCTATATGTACTACTAGTATTACTACATTACTCTCAAATTAAGGTGTAGCCTCCTCAGTATTCATTAAAGGTCCTGCTTTTTTACAATCTCAAAAGCATCGCTCTCTACACGGCTGTCTGCACTTTTTTTACCACAGTGACAGTCACCGTGCTACCCACTGCACTCATGGTGTCACAGCTTTGTGTTTTTTAACTTGTAGGTAAATTGTGACTAGCAATCAAGGTACTAATTGGGGCAAAATCAGAAGAGCACTCGTGAAAAATAATACTACTTAAAAAATAAACTTTAAATTTTGAAGTATCTGTCAAATATCAATTCAGGAAAGCTCTGTATGCTCATCTGTTTGTCTGTTATTCACCACAATAACCTTGCCATGGTTGATGCCATTTGGATGACCCGTTCTCATATTTAGATGCATTGCCTTTTGTTATTGCCTGGTCTGTGAGTAGCGCCATACATGCACACAGAGCCATGTTTTTATTTGGCTGTCTTTGTGAGGACAGCCTCTTACCTCTAAGTTTAACAGTTGAACAAAGTGACAAGACTGTACCCGAACCAAATTTTAACTTTCCCTTTAAAATTAAGCTCTTAAAGTTGTCTGGATGCTCCAGCTCGCTGTCTTCCCATTCTGCACAGCTACATTTTTAACAGGCACAGTCACATAACTGTTCTCAGTAACATCTGACACATTTATAGGGCATCTGTAAATTGTAACTGTGACCAAAGGAAGTTAGGTTACACTGAATAAACAGGCTTTTTAAAGGAGAATTAAATAACTTATTTTTTTGCTCCACTTGCCACTCATAAAATATTACATTATCCTGTAATGATGTGGCCAGGGTCTCCATGTCTGTCTGCTAGAATGTCTCACTCTGCAGTTGCCTACTCACTGTCACATGGTGTGGTTTGATCACAGCAGCCAAATCAGTCAGAGCACTGAGTGCTTATGTTTTTGGGCCTTGCAGTATCTGCCATCTGTGAGAAGGGCCTACAGTATCCTGTGCGTGTTTGTCACTGTACATCTTGCTGCTTGTGTCCAAGGTCACCCCCCCACCCCACACACCCCTCCCCGCCCACCTCTCGCTAGAATGGATGACTCCAGGTACACCGGAGGACAGTCATTTGGCTGTGGCCCCACTTCATTTCTCTCTGCCCCTCAAACACAACAGTGAGCTTTCCCACCATTCCCCCAACAAACGCTACAGCTCATGTATTTTTAATCTTTTGACAGATGCAATTATTCTTTACACGCCGTGCTCGTTAATCTTAATGCAGTTATTACTATTCATTGCAGGACGTTTTTCCCCTCCTATTATTTTATTTGAAAGTGCCTCTCCTTCAGTGTGTGTGTGTGTGCACGCTCAGTGTGCGCCGGCACCAAGCCTGTGGTCCAATCAGAGCGGGCCGACAGCGGAGTTAATGAATGCAAGAGGAGAACAAGGAAAGAAGGGGGGAGGGGCCCACGGTGCAGAGGCTCAATAAGTGACCTGTTGTATATGGATATTATTAACATGTGGTCACATATCAGTTATTCACTTTGCCACGCACGCTATCGGCTCCAAAAAGCTGTATCCATTACAGTTGCGAGATTCCAGCGTGATAATGCTGCGGTTTGTTAACGCTCCTGTTCAGATTGCAACAGTAAACTCAGAGCAGAAATAACTTTTTGATGCGAGTGATTGAAGTGATTTTTTTCATCTCCTTTCATGAGGCCCCTAAGCCGAGATGTCAATCCGCTGGAGTGTTTCATTAGCGTTCTATATTTTGATTTGCCTGTGACATCTCCCCATGCTGTGCAGTGTAACTCCTACCCAGTCTGGGGCTTGAAAGAGGCCTGTTAACAGTGTTTCCCTAACAATGTTTATATCACCTCCACATGGTTTTGATCAGCGCACATAAACACCTCCTGATCACTGAATGCTGAAAAACAGTGGCAGCTTCTGCCCGAATTCATCGGTTTCCCAGAGATGCTCCCGACTTCGTCTCTGTCTTCTTCTTCCTCGCCTTCTCTCCTGGAGTGTGCGAGTGCGCGTGCGTGCGTGTTCGAGTGGCGTTTGAACGTCTGCGTTTGTTGCCACCTCTGTGAGAGCAAGGAGGCCCTGTCGCCAGGGGCGTAGCCCTGAGACTGACGCTCCAGGTGTTTGCTCTTCCTTTCCTCCTCGTAGTTCACACACTCATCCCTCAGGATCCACCCCGCTCCCCCTCTCCTTTAGAACACATCGCCTTTTATCTGAGCGGGGAGCTCACTGAGACTTTCTGAAGATTCTGATCTGAATACACCCCTCTAAGTGTGTATGTGTGTCTGTGTTGGGGCCTACGGCGTGTCTGATGTGTGTGTCTATTTATGTGGAAATGTTATGACAACAGCGCTTGCTAGTGGTGACCGCGAGCACTGCAGACGAGAGCCCAGGCACAAGCAGCTTTTTTGCCACATTAAGGCGCGCGTCGTCTTGTGTTAAGAGATGCTTGTAAGTGCCTCACATATTCGCATCAGATTTTTCCCTCGGCTATGAGATTATCTGAACGCAGCACGCTGACCTTAGTAATTCAGAGTCGTTCAGATGCATAAAGAATAGTTGTCCTTCTTCAACCTCCCATATACAAATGCGAGCACCAGCAAGAGAGGCCTGCAAGGCACGGCGAGCTGGCTTTATTGTAATTGTGCAGCTGAGTACCTACAGTCAGGAGGAGAGTGAAGGAGAAGTGCCTTGTGCATTTGTGGCAGTCCTGTTGGAAAATAAGGGCATATAAAAGCTGATGGAAAAATGAAAGCTCTCTGGGCGGGACGAGATTATGCACAAGTGATTAATAAGAGCAGTAATAAACAAAGGCCCAGGAGATGTTTGAGGTGCTTAATAATGCATTATGTTCATAAAAGAGCCGGGGCCTCTCCAACTGATCCCTGTGGAGTAAGAGACCCCAGAGGGACCAGGAGAGTGTGCTCTTAAAAGACAGCAGCGTGTGTGTGTTTGTGTGCATGTGTGTAGGAATGCATGTGTGTGCGTGCGTGTCTAACCAAAGTATTCAAAAACAATTTTAAACAATAGGCCGGTATATTTGATGAGGTTATATCATTGTGATTTGTCTTACAAGTCTAATAAAACAAGACTGGGAGGTAGGTGGTTTTATCATTGTCACATTTCCAGTGAAGTTTGGTTTGGATGTTATTGGCACATCTTTTTTTTCACTGCAGCATCTCGTGTTAATTTTAAATGCTGTCTAGCTCTACTCTTTGTTCCAAAGCCCCGGTCTTTGTTCTGAGCTTTAAAATGTCTCGGTATTGATGTCATTCCTTCTTCGTCCTTCAGTCTGTCAAACAAAGACGCAGAACGGCAATGAAAAAGAACAGGTTAAAAAGTTTCTCTTTCAGCTTTGTTTTGTTCGTGCACACAAAAGCCTCCGCTTCCCACAATCATATTTTTTCATTCCACCTTCTATCTTTTTTCATTATTTTTTTATTTATTTATTTTTTATTTTAGCGTTTTCTCACTCCTGCCACATCAAGGTAAAGCGAGACTTGGGTTTGCTATCTGAATATCAAATGCTCGTTGGTTTAAAATACGCCACAAAAGGAACAAAGTTATGTTTCTGAATTTGCTGCAAGTGGTTTGTGTTTCTTCTAATCAAAACTAATCCTTGACTGGTTGCGGGAAAGAGGCCCCGTTTTATTCGATACATCTTATGTCACGATGCATTGTGTGCGAAGGTGAGAGCGAAGCTTTAGTGTTCTGTCAACCTAGTTTTAATCCTTGACAACAATATTACAGCAGTCTTGCTGTTTGTTGCAGCAGCGTCAGAGCATGTTTATGGACCTTGAAGTCCACTCAGAGGGAAAAAAAAAAAACAAGACTGTTTTGAATGAAAAGAAAAAACCTTGGAGCACAGCCTTGTAAATTAATTTGTTCGTGTTGTATGATGGGAACACAGCTGGCCTCATTAACATGCGCACAACAAATAATTATAGCTTCTTTTTTTTTCTCTCTCTCTTCAGCCAGCCAATGCTTGGCTAATGGGCTTGCTGGGTTAATTATGTCAGAGCGTAATTACACAGGGCCCAGGGAGACATAATGGTGCACCCTACTGCGCCCACACCGCCTAATGATGGTGTATCGCTGACAGGGCCAAGACGGACCGCCCCGACACACCTGCTTGTCTTGGCGCACGCCACGCTCGTCCACCCCCACCCACCTAGACGTGCAGCCTGAACCTGTGCACCCTCCACCTCCCCCCCGGTGTCACACGCCATCCGCCGAGCCAGGCTCTGACTGCTGGACCGAAGGCTCACCCAGACACAGAGTAGCTGCTTTGAGATGTGTAACCGCACAGAAACAGCAGCACAGTGACCACAAGCAAGGAGCTACAGGGTGGTAACCTCATTATCGCTCAGCTAAAGTGATGAAACTCAATATCAACATAGCGAGTGAGGTGGCGTGAAAACTTTAAAAAGTCACGCTAACCTTTTGTTGAGGATCAGTTGGGGTTACATTAATCAAATGGGTATTGTTTATGTAGTTTGGCCTTCTCTTATGTTGGTATTAATTACATTGTAATTTCTAATTAAGGATGCACACACAGCAAGATGAGCGAGACAGCCAGAATGAAAATCTGCAGCATGCCCATGCATCTTCTCTACTTCCAGTTTTCTCACATACAGTTAACGATTAGTGGCAACTTCTCATGGATGCGGACGATTAAGAAAGAAACCGTGTACAACATCATCAATAATGTGGCGACATCAGTGTGAAACAGTATTTTATGCTAACCTGTTGTTTTTTTCATACTTATATCTAAGTTTTGCAGAGCACCTGACCTGTTCAGGGTTTAGAATATGGCCTTTACCACAGACTGTATATAAAAGATGGATGTATTCACTGTGAACTTCCCAACACGTTCTCAATCCCAAAGCGTAATATGTTGCGCTAGGTGACAAATCGTCAACATATTACGCTTGCGGACACCCATCACGTCCCTAAATGACGAGATCGGGAAAATTAGAAAACATGAGAACCGTTTGGAATCAATCTACACATGTTCATTCATTTTACTTAAATCGCTTTGGAAAACACTATTTAACGTTATTAAAGTGCTGGTTAAGGTTAGGGATAAGGTTAGGTTAGGTTAGGGTTAGGGCTGGAATACATGGCTGGAGCGTGTATTACCACGTGTATACCATTATCATTCTACTGGATTTCACCCATAACTCGGCGCGTAGCATAACAACAGGGAAGGTCACCTTTCGCGTTCCTCAGGAACACCGTGGGATGTGACAAATTGTCGGGATGTTACGCCTCGGGAGTGAGAATGGGCTGGAACTTCCCCCTTATGTTTTATTGTTTTTCCGAGTCAGAAGTTACCACATGTGGATGAGATGGAGGCGTTCAGCAAGCCGCAGTCATAGCCTTTATGGGTGGATGCCAAATTTTTGTTTGGCATATAAAAAATTCTGTCATTTCACACACCAAAATTGTCTAATCGTGCAGTTAAGCTCATAGCCAGTCAGTGATATTTAAAACTAAAATTTAAAATTGCACTTGAAAATGCTCCAAAAGGCATCAACAGCACAGACGATGAGAGACCAAGTCCAGGGACTTCAGGTCATGCCAGACAGATGTCTAGCAGCTGCCATCTGTCACTCAAAAATGGCCTTTTAGCCATAAATAATATTTTTAGAAGTTTAAATAATGAATGCATAAATAATTCACCCTGGTGCATCTGTCATCTACTTGGAGACTAACACAATATTATGTATATTTCACTTGTAAAGTTGGGTATTTTAACATGGTAGTTGATGTGGAGTGACTTACTTTTGGGGCAAACCTGAAGTTGTCATTTGAGGAACTGCAGTTTTTGATACCTGGAAGTTTCTGCTGTTCTTACTGTTTTGACAGTTTGCATATAATGAAATTTACAAAACTCTTTTTAAAAATGTCTTGATGTTAACTAAAAAAGGGGTTGACTGGATCAAGAAACACAAGAAGTCAGACAGACCGACATATTATTACCAGCCTCCCTTATTTAGAAGAGGAATAAAATCTCACTCTGTTCAGTGGCTGCGATTTCAGTGGTTGCACACATGGACCTATATTAACCAGAGAAAACGATGCATTAAATGTCCTGTGATTTATTAGCTGAAACGACCCGCCGTTGCCCAGTCACTTACCACGACCTGAGAGCGCACATCCAATCATCCATAATTAAGATAAGGGATGAATTAAATGGAAGCATTTATTTGGGCCGACTCTGGTGTGACTCGCACAAAGTACATAATGCCTCATCAGCTGCATTATATTTCTTGATTGGCGGGATTGTGAACTTTAAGGTTAGTGTTGAATTCCTCTCCAATTCCAGTTTTTTAATGGTGGATTTAGGACCAGAGCTGCTCTAAGAAGAACCTCCATCAATTAGTAGCTCTATTTTCCAAAGTTAGCCGCAGTCTTACTGGACTCTCCTTGAGTAACTGTAGATCCGAGCCCCTTCGAGAATATCCTCTCTGCTCTACTTTGATGGGGGTTAATTTTGTATACAGACTTAAGTTATATCCCTTCACTTTAAATTTGACTTTACTTTACTCCCCTGCCACTGATTGATAATCCTGGCTTGTCCATGCGTGAAAGATCCCTTACTATAATCTCTGTCCTTTGATCATTAAAAGTTGAAAGGATATATGGGAAAGAGGCTGATAAAGTGATTTCTGTGACAGTGGGTCGATGGAATAGCAGTGCTTTAAGTCATCCTGTTTGTCTTAGAAGAGCTGTGCTCTTAATAGTGATGTCCCTCGTGACTGATGCAATATCTCTACAGTTGGTGTAACAATGAATGCAGACAATGTTTGACTGTAAACGGTCCTGGGAAAAATAGCTCAATCAATTAAATGGCCCAAAATGTTTGTCTGATGAAAATGCAGATATGGCGAGCTGCAATGTTCGAGCAGGATTTCAACAAATTGCACGTTGCAGAAGTTTTCGGCTCTTTGATGAGCGTTTATTATTTCGTGGCCTGCTGGTTCAGAGTTTGCATTCTCTCGGTGGCATCTGGCAAAGTTTAAACGTCTGTGGCTCCAACTTCTTATGAAAAGTCACTTCAGTCAGTGCCCATACTGAAGAAGGGATCCAATTGGGTTCCACACAGAAGTCTAAGATGAGTGGATGAAAGCTGTGGGAGAAAAGTTTGTGCAGCAAAGCAGCGATTTTCCTCCTCTTTTAGAGTTTTGAAGGGCTGCGGTGTGTCTGTGCATCTGCATGTGTGTGTGTGTGTGTGTGTGGGTGAGTGTGAGTGTGAATGTGTGCGCGTGGCTCTTGGCCCCCCCCCCCACTTGTCAAGGAGCTCCCCTGAGCTTCCTTCTCTGTGCTTTGGCACTAGAAGTCACCTCCTTTGGTGTTCGGCAGGCAGGTACACAACAGGAGCAGCTCTCTCTCTCTGAGCTGTTGAACTTTTCGGGAGGGGAAAAAAGGGAAGGGGAAGATTAAAAACAGCCCTGTGATGTGGAGTGCCGAGCTGCCTCCTGAGAATTCCTGGCATAATAATTTAAATGATCAAATGATACAGAGGAGACTTGTTAGCTGAGAAACAGCCTCCTAGTTGGCCCCATGGGCCTGGTGCTGCCGCGCATGCATTGCAAAACAGCTCCTCTGTTGTGCTAAAGAATCCCGCTTTTTTTTTAACCTCCTTTTCAGGAGCAGAGTTTTTCTACACTTTGCCTAGGTGTATACATGGGACTTAAGTCTCTGTCACATATTCATTGTAATCTCTCTCTTTTTTTTTGTCGTCTTTGCCATTCATCAGCATGTGAGAGGACTCATTAGATTAGATTTTTGAACATGTGAAGGGTCGGAACAGCACTTGTGTCATTAGGTCCAGGCTGTGAAATTTTCAAAGGCGGCTGAGTGGGGAAAGTCTGAGAGTCACTCTTTGGAAACAAGTCTCAGCGGAATAGCCTGCTTCTGTTGAAAGTGCGAAGCAGAAAACTCTGTAATGTGCTTCACAGACAGTGCACACAGTTAAACAGCTATTTTGCCTTTTTTGAAAAGTAGAAGTGTATGGGTATCATGTGAATCTCAGTTGTTCTTCCTGCACAGATTTGTTTGCGCGTGTTTCCACAGATCCCGCTCCTGTGCTGGAGGCCTCACATTCCCTGGAGGAAAGACTGCAGCAGCTTCAGAGTTCAGCCCCAGACAGCGAGGCCCTGGTACGAGAGATCAGTGGGCACTGGAAGAAACACCTGGAGTGCCTTGAAAAGACAGGTCAGCCTCAAATCATCTACATTAAGCGGCTGCTGCAGTACGTGTCTGCAGGTATACGAAGCTTCATTGAAATACACCTGGTGTTGAAATATATCTGAGTATCGGAGGAAGTGTGTACAAGCAACATTGTTAAATAAATAAACTGTCGTGTTTTATTTCTGAGCCCTCACTTTACCAACTCATGGCTCTTCATTTACACAGAGCCCGCAGAGGACGATCAGGCAATCTCAGACACAGCAGTGAATAAAGAGGCCCCACAATCCAGCCCTCCAGCCTCCCAGATGACCCCAAACAGCATCCCGGCTCCTGGGGCCCCAGACTCCCCACAGCGGAACCACCGGGATCGTGCTAATGATGGCGGGTGAGAGCTAGTTTTTAATTTATAAAAATAATAAATTGTCGTTATAACCTGTGCACACGATGGTTTGTAATTCTTAAAGAAATATGTAATTGAAGATTATATTATATTTTCCAGCTCATGCTGACTTTAAACTGACTTTATTATTCTCATGTAGAGGTTTGTTATTTTGGGAATCTGCTTGAATACTTCCATCTTACACAGCTGCACCTTTTCTCACCCTGTCTGAAATACACCTTTTTAGCTCCCATCCCTTTTTCACAGGTAGCTCCACATATTTGATTTGTCAGACTTTTACCCCAAAGTATTTCTAGTACTTCCAGAAATGAACCAGTCTATTCTTTTTGCTGTTTTTGAGGCAAGACTGTTGACTGCTAACAAATCCATTTTGGCTTCTGTGCCTTCTAACATTGTCTCTGGGTGATAATTTTAAACATGAATGTAGACAATATCACTACACAGTCATTTCTGTGACTTATGTGAAGCCATTTGCGGTTTAAAAAATGACTCTAATGGCCGTGTTTTCACCACATAATGCTGCAGAAACATAAAAATATGTTCATACACCTTACATACAAATAATGTAAATTTGGCTGTATAAAAATATAGTGTATGTGAGCCCAGCGAGTGGGAGAGAAGCAAACAGATGGTAAAATTACACAGGGATTTTTCTTTTATGGTGGGGATATTACCGTCAGAACTAAAAGTTATATACTGGGTCTTCAGTTCCTCAGATGTTGGGAATACATGAAAATGTTTGGGTCCACTCCTGCAGCACACAGCGGAACATTTTGTGTACCTTGCTAACATATTTTAAAATTAGCACAAGCAGCTCTAGCATGGCGGTAATGGGAGGCAGCTGACTGCATCTGAACTTTTTAAGGCAGCTGCTCGTTCTTTATCTGAAAGTTTGAAAAATTAGTTGCTCTAAGGGTATCATGTTAGCATGCTGCATAGTGAAATGGATAGTGAACAGAAGAAAAGCCTGGTAGTACACTAGCAGTGTTTCCAGATTGGGATGGACTACCCTGTATACTGGAAAACTTTTTATAGTGGGCAAAAACAAACAACGCAGTAAAACGGGCAAAAGAATGTGGCCAGGCTTTATCTACATGCATCAAATGTGGCCCAAAACACGTCAGCATTTCAGTAATTTAAAGTGTTTTCCCTTTGCTCTACTTGGTTTTGATTAACATTAAAAGTGCGCATTAACGTATGGCCATGATGTAGGCAGGAACTGACAAGAGTTTCTTTTCTCAGGGAGGAGGAGGAGAGCGCTGATGTTAGCATGGCTGACAGACTATCAGAGGCCGAGGAGAAGATCAAAGTTCTGCATTCATGTAAGTGGTTTAAACACTGGCATGTGCTGTAGCTGTTAGATTTAATATCAACCCATTAAAGAACCATTGCTTGTCTAATTGCAGTATGGTGCCCCCTGCTGCAACACTGCTCCCCGATTGGTGCTCGTGTTTACATAAATAAAAATGAGAAGTTGATATATCTTGTCAGTGTAAGTTGTCAGCTGTTAACTTATAACAAGCTGTGTTTTGAATCTGGAATGGATATTGATCCATCCTGAAATTGGACCTGTACAATGTAGCTTTAAGGTAAAAGTTCATGTGTCTTTTTTGTCTTCTTTTAACATGAATTTCTGACTCCCCCCTGTGTGTTTCTCATTAGCTTTGAACACTGCACAGACAGAGCTGCTGGAGCTGCGGTGTAAATACAACCAGGAGATGACGAACAAGTAAGAGTCTGCCTCTCATCTCGCGTTTTCTGTTTACTTTGGCACACATTTCCAAATTTCAGAGGTTTTTCCCCGCTCCCTCCCACAGTCGTGACGGCTGCACGCCAGCATCACCGTAGCATTTCGAGTGCTCAAGCCGCTCTTATTTTACCTACATAAACTCACGTCCAGTGTAGAGCTGAGGAATGCCATTGTAAAAGCAGAGAGTGAGAGTGACTCAGCCACTAATGCAGGTCGATGAGAGAGGTCTGTGTTTGCTTTCACTGGCAGCTGGGCCTTGACAGCCCTCAAGAAGAATTGCTTCATTTAAAGATTGCTTCAGAAAACACTCTACCTTGTCCTGGTCTTTGAGCGCAATGTATCCACCACACGGCTGAAATGAATCTGAGCTTGTATGAAGGATGTCGATAGACATTCAAAGTAAACACTCCTTTGTTTGGGTTGTGCTCTAGAGCACAGTCAGCCGCTGCTAATGGATTTTCTCCCAGGCTTAATCCTTGGTGCAATTGAACTGATGTCTCCAGACCCGCTGCCATCCATTTTGTCGGATTGGACACATTTTCAGTTTGGCCTTACCTTTTTGCAAAGAGCTGCGATGTGAAAGAGCATCTCTGTCATGTAGTTTGTCATACTGTGTGTGCGTGTTGCCCCGGTCGCATTCCTCAAGGCCGACAGTAGCAGCAGCGACTCCGCAGCTCAAGATGCAGCTATCCCGCCCTGACCCCAAGCGTCTGAGCGCCGGGCCGGGCCTCTATTAGTCTCACTGACTGTTTCCTCGGTGCTGATAAGAAAAACTATTTGTCTGCCTCGGCTTGAGTAGCTGAACAGGTAATCAATACAAAACATTTTCCGTAGTGCACAAGTTCATTAAACGTAGAACTGACACCTGTTAGTGTTTTCTGTCAGGAGGACGCCATCTATACAGGCCTTATTGGGCCTGCCCATGACCCTTTAAAACTGGGGCTGCACCAACTGCAAGAACGGGATTGGTCGGAGGCATCATCTGACAGATAGCTGCACTACAGTCACGTTCACGCATGCATTGCATTCCTGAACTTTGCTCATACATACCTGACAGAAGTGCATGTGTCAAATCAGACATTTGCATTCATACCTGCACTAGCTTGATTCTCTTGCAAAGCCACATCGTGTTGATGAGTGAATAGAGCAGCTTATCTCCTGGTGCATTTATTAGTAGTGCATGGATGCCATGTGTCCTGCCTCCTGCACGCTCAAGCCACAAGTCTAGCTCCTCTAAACTTTGCAGAAGTGTGCACCACATAGGAGAGCGAGAGCAGCTGTTCTCTCAAAATTGTCAAGTTCATTTGTCTTAATGTCTTATGCACAAGTATTGAAAGATTGTATTTGTGCGTTCTTGTGATCCCATTGGATTAATAATTTTTCCGGTAATCACAGCTTTTGATGTGAGACAATGGAGCAGATAGGCGCAAACATGAAAGATAATGAGGGTTTGGCTGAATATAGTTAGTTTAATAAGGATTTAAAAAGTCTGATGTGTTCTTTGAACAGTTTTATTTCCTTTGGTTAAAAAGGACTGCTGTGTCCCGAAACTTGAGAAACCTATGTGCATATTTAAATCAATCACAGCGTTCTCGTTAATTCATCCTTATCTACCTTTTGAAAATCTGATCCCATGTGTGCAAAATGAAACTGTTGAACTTCAAACACACCTCATGAATGATCCTGCTGAGCTTCTGTTTAAATTAGACTTCTCTGATTGTTAGATGTATGGAGGCTGGAAGTTCAGCCTCAAGAGTTCTGAGGGGAAAAAAACACGATTCGTGTATGCATCCGCTCGCTCGGCCGCTGACGTTGTGCCATCAGAACTGTTCTTGGGGTATCTAGGATTATTAATGACCTGGGTTTACATAGACACCGGTTACACCTGGTGGATTAAAAAAAATCCATTATATTGAGAATATTTCCATGATTTTGAGGGAATAAACAGTTCGGGAGTTAATTTTTTGTTATTGTGGACTTTGCTTTGAAAATATGTCTCTCAAATTATAATTGATAGTTTTTTTTAATGCTTGGTAACATATTAGCTGTAGGGGGTGGGAATTTAAACTCACTTTTTCCAAAATCCCAGCTGAGTTTCTAATTTGAGGTACTGAAATGCCAGAATACAGACAGTGATAAAACTCAATTGCCAGTTCATTAGGGACTTTTAGCCTCTAGTGTGTTGAACAGTTTTTTCCCCCAAATATTCTGTGCATAATGATTTATGTGTAGTAAATGTTAGAACGTCGTTTTGAGTATAAAGTATATGTGTGAAACAAAACTCTGCAAAACTCTATTATGCATTTCCTGTTGTTGGTCAGTATTTGGTTATAGGGCCATAGCTTTCCTGAAATATGACTGTCACGCTACAGCTTTTTTTTCCTGTGCAGCAGAATGTGTAATAGCAGTTGGTTTTTTTCTTGTTTTGTTTATTTGAAACTGAAAATATGTCGCCAGTAAACCTTCTCTGTCTGGATGTGTATGTGCTGCAGGGCGGAGGAGGTCGACGGCATCATGGCGAGTCTTGAGAAAGCAAACCAGGTGAGTTCGGTCTTCCTGTGCACTCCTCTGATTGAGATGCTCCTTCATTAAGGTAATCACTCCTGTAATCAAGCCTCGGCTTTAATTAGGCACCCTCCGCCCTGTGCCCCCCCCCACCCCCACCCTCTCCTCTTCCTCCCCCCTTCTGCCTCCCGTGCCCTGAGAGTGTGATTAGTGAATGTAAACCCGAAGCCCGGTCGGTGGGCGTGCTACGGCAGCACGGCTCCACTCAGCAGAGAACAGGAGACTGCCGAGCGCGATTGATGCCGGAGTGCCGAACGCCGGGGTTCTTAGTTATCTCATTGCCTTGATTGCTTCCTGTCCTGGTGATACTTCTTTTCTTCTGCTTCCCTCTTCTCTGCTCTGATTTTCTCCCTGGCTCTCGTTCTCTCCCTCTCTCTGCTGCTGCTGCTCTCTGCCAACCGCTCCCAGATAAATGTTCTCAAAATGAATCATTAATTAGCAGGCCGGGTGTGACAGAGCAGGTAAACAGTTTGGGGAATAAAGTGGGCTGACTAAACACCCCTCGCAGCAGAATAAACCAGTGGCTGCACTCACCTCCTTGGGCCCCTGCTCAGGTTTTTGCTAAATTTTCTGAGCGAGGGCGCCTTTTTTTTTTTTTTTTTGATTTACTATGTTAGTGTGCTCTTGCTGTGATCAACTCATTAGCCAATTGATGTGGCCGGTGTATGAAAACTGTAACGCTGTGATGCCGTGTCTGTGCGCAGAGAGCGGAAATGGCTCAGAGGGAAGTGGAAAGGCTAAAGGAACAGCTATCCAGTGGCCACAGCATCACCGCAGGGAGCTGCCATCCAGCAAAGGGCACTAGCAGGGTAAGAACTGTTACATGTTGGGTGTAAAATACTTTATTTTTCTTATTATTATTTTTTTCTTTTGTTTTTGTTTTTTTAATGGCCACAAATAATGTATTAGTCAACTGCAGGTATCATTTTGAGATATTTTACTTTATTTTCATTCATTTTCAATCCAGTCCTTGTACCTGACCATAGTATTGAATAGTATTGTATATAAACATTATGTAGGAGTTAGATAGTGGATAATAGGTATTGATTTGTAAATAACTGGACATGAATAACTTCAGTTTCTAATATAATATTAGACTCTAACTGTTAAGCTCGTTCTCTTTCTTTTCACGTGACTTTGTTTAAAGATGGAACAGATTTTTGGGTCAACTTGAAAGAAAGGCACACGTGGAAACGAGAGAGCAGAGGTCAAATGTGATATAGATGTGATTAGATTTCATTCAAATACTTTCAAGCTATCGTGTTTATATATCATAAAATACACAGCTCAGCAAAAAATCCATTTTAAGTTTTATCTTTAGACACGTTGTTACTAGCAGCCACACTCACATGTTCTCATTTCTTAAGTTGAATCCATTAAAACAAGGTGATTTACAAATTTTACAGCTATTAGTCGAAAGCCTGGCATATCTGAGCATGCTGGGCGGTGTGTCCTTAGCAAATAGAGGAAATGGGTGCAGAATAAAAGTACTAGTTGGTCTAAAAAACCTACAACAAAAAATCTACAACAGATGAACGGTGTCTGAAAGTGATGTCCTTCAGAAATAGGAACAAATCCAGCAAAGTCTGACACAAGACCTCAGAGATACACTTGGCCTTTTAGCCGATTGTTCACTGAAGCGTCAACAGAAACGGTCTCAGTGGAAGGATGGCTGTCAAGAAGCCCGTTTGAGGAACGCAAACCAGGAGAAAAGGCTGAGGTTAGCTAAATTACACTAGAACTGGACTACTGAACTGAAACTCATGGAGTGATGAATGATCCCAAACACACTACCAGCATACCTGGATTTAAAAAAAACAAACAAAGGAACACTATCGGACATGGATTAGACTCCCCAGAGCCCCGCCCTCAAAATTGCAACTTAGAAAAGATAACAAACAGCCATAAATGTATGGCTGTAACATTTCTGGTGAAAAATACAGTGGAAAGTCTAAAAGTAACTCCATGTGTTTTGTCCAATTGTTTCACTCTGCAAAGCCTGCAATGGCTGGATTTTTGCCTGTGGGTCTTGTGTTTGACACCATTTTCAGTTCACATGTTAGCACATCAATCAAAGAATGTTGATGTAATACTACTACTAATAAAATAACCACAAATTTGTTAATTCCATTTTTTTTTTTACAGTTTATTCCATAACATGTAACACAACAGCTAGATAAACACACACACATCAGTACACCTTTATTCTTCATGGCATAGATTCAACAAGGCACTGGAAACATTCATCAGAGACTTTGGTCTATATTGACAACGAATCACACAGTTGCTGCTGAGAGATTCACATCATAGATCTATGATGTGAATCTCTCATTCCACCAGATCCCAAAGGTGCTCTATTGGACTGAGATCTGGTGACTTCTGAGCGCAGATAACTCATTGTTGTTTTCAAGAAAGCAGTTTGAGGTGATTTTAAGTTTGGGCAATGGTGTTTCATTCTGCTGGAAGCAGCCATCAGAAATGTCTCCCACACCAACACCACCAGCACCAACCTAAACCAATGATACAAGGCAGCATGGCCCACCCTTGCTTTCATGGTGTTCGTGCCAAATTCTGACCCTACCATCCAAATATCGCATCTAACTTGAGACTGGTCAGATTAGGCAATGTTGTTTTCAATCTTCTGTTAACTTCTTCAAGTTCGACATTCTCTTCTGCATTGGTTGTAACAAGTGGTTATTTGAGTTACTGTTGCCGCCTTATCATCTTGAAGCATTCTGGACATTCTCCTGTGACATCAATAAAGCATATTCACCCACTGCCACTCTCTAGGGTTTACAGAGAATGACCCTAAAGTTAGTTGTGTAGAAAAATTACCAGTAGAGCGTCATTCTGAAATCCTCAGACCAGCCCGTCTGGCACCAACAACGATGTCATGGTCAAAGTCACTTAAATCATGTTTCCTCCCCAGGCTGATGGTCAGTTTGGACTTCAGCAGGTCATCTTGACCATGCCCAAATGTCTAAATGCACTGAGCTGCTGCAATGTTATTAATTGATTAATTCATTTGTATTAACAAACAGTTGACCAGGCGTATTTAACAAAGTGGTCATTAACTAGATATTAGAGCATCTTAAAAACGTATTATGTACACATACCTTTTTAAACCACGTTTGACGTTTTGTTCTGTACAGATCACCAGATTATGAAATTATGAAATCCCTGCCAGAGGGCTTTTTAATTGGTGTAGAAATATTGAATGTTGTCTTTTATCAGTCTCTGAGATGAATTAGAATATGCTATTAATTGCAACCTCATCATCTTTGCAGAAGTCATATTCTCTCACCTTTCATTACCACAGCAGAGGTTGTGATTCACAGGCTGCCCTCACTCCCTTTATCACTTTTTTCCTCTCCCTCACTCTCACACCTTTTGTCACATCTTCCTGTCACCCTGTCAGGAGAAGAACGAGAAGGGAGAGGTGTTGCCCTCCCAGCTGGAGGCTGCCTTGCTGGCTAAAGACCGTGAAATCCTCCGCCTTCTCGAAAACATTCAGCGGCTGCAGTTCACACTGCAGGAAGTTCAAGAAACCTCAGCCAATCAGATTCTAGAGCTGGAGCGCCAGGTAGCCTATAAGACAGAAGCTATAGAGGTGAGTGGCTGGGAAACATGATGGGAAATGTGGGGAAGAGTCCTCCGTCCGCAGAATCTCTTATTAATTCAGAGGAAAATATTATCCTTCTGTGTTTTTGTTTCAGAGATTAGAAGCTAAACTGCAATCCCAGATGGACTATGAAGAGATTAAAACTGAACTCAGGTGGTTGATTGATATCGAACGTGTCAGTAATTCATAGTAATGTTAATGGACATCTAACTATATGACTGTGCTTCTTTTGGTTTTCGCCGTAGTATCCTAAAGGTAATGAAGCTGGCTTCAGCCAATGGCAGCTCATCCCAGGTACGCATGTTCCTGCACTTTGTACTTTTGTGTTACTCACAGCAACAACTCCACCTCATTGTTAGTCCATTTAAAAAAACTCGGTGCTTTTCCTCAACATTTTGCCGCGACGTTTCAGAGAGCGGGAAAGTAAATAAGCGGCAGACAGAAATGAGGCAGGTCGAATCTTCTTGCGTTTCACGCATGCGCAGTACTGGAACGTAAGCGTTTTCGGCCGTTTCAATGTGGACACACAACTCTGTGAAAACGATTGAAAACGCTAGTGTGGACACAGAGCGTTTTCAGACAAAAATGCCATTTTCAAATCTAAAGCTAGTGTGGACGTAGCCTTAGTGCCAGAGAATAAAAACTACAGCAGTGCAATTGAATGCATCACTGGTCCATCATCCATTATATCCAATATAAGGATATCGGCAGCCACTACAATTGATTAATCTAGAATTAACAGCTTTTGTGTGTGGGTGTGTGTGTGGGTGTGTGTGTGGGTGTGTGTGTAGGATTCTGCTAAGGCTGCAGAGGCTCTTTTGCTGGATAAAGAGGCCTTTCTTCCATCTCACAAGTACCTGGTGGATAAGACCCGAATACTACACAGCAATGGTAAAATAAATGTCTCATTTTTTTTAGCCTATAAAGTTAAAAGAAAACTAGTACTAAGAGATTGTTAGTTTCTAAAAGGTGTTGAGTTTTGTCATCTACCAAATACTGCCTGTTTGTTTGGCACTCACTGGGCAGCGGATTCTATAGTTGATTACTTCCACATTTAAATCTCTGTGCTTAAACTGAGTTTGCATAATGTTGTCTGGATTTGCAAGGGTATAAAGTAAGCGATTTAATTCAGGAAATATCTTTTATAAGCTGAATAATAGTTAGGTCTTCATTGTTAAAGCCATGTAGCTGTACACATCCCATGTGTCCTGAGTGAGATGGCTTTTCTGTCACCAGATGATGACCATTCTGAGGATGCAGGCAGGGAGATAGGCAGGCCGCCCGGATCCCACTCATCCTCCTCTCAGGTGGACAGTCGTGCCTCCCCCAGCCCCGGTCCCCCCACCCTGGACCGCTCCTCCTCCAGCCATGATCTCCCCCGGCCTTTCTCAGTGTCGCCGTGCTCCGGGGACCGGCTGTCAGGAGACCACATCCTCCACAAACAGCTGTTATCTCCACACTTTAAAAAGGATGGCCTCATGGCTTTCCCTACCGCCCTCTATGCAGCCAAAGTCGCGCTTATGTCAGCCTCACAAGGGCCTGTGGGGGCGGGCAGCGTTGATGCCGGCTTGCCCAGCGACCAGTCAGAAAGCGGCAGCTCGACCGCAGGAGACGATGACCAACTGGACACGGCGGAGATCGCCTTCCAGGTGAAGGAGCAGCTGCTGAAGCATAATATCGGCCAGCGAGTGTTTGGCCACTATGTGCTGGGCCTGTCCCAGGGTTCGGTCAGCGAGATCCTGGCAAGACCCAAACCCTGGAGGAAGCTGACTGTGAAAGGCAAAGAACCTTTTATTAAGATGAAGCAGTTTCTGTCTGATGAACAGAACATTCTGGCACTCAGAACCATCCAGGTCCGACAGAGAGGTGAGTGCTAACTACTGTGTGTCACAGCCTGGGTCTCTGACCCATCGCTCTGAGTTTATTTTTGTATTCTTCTCATGTTATCTTTGTGATCATGTGTTATTCCTGTCTAGCTTAGGTTAAAGGCAGCCATTATTTATTGTTTCCTTGGTTTCCATGTTTGGATTCTTGCCTAGTTTATCATGTGTTTTAGGTCTGTAAGCTTAGTGTTGTCATGTCTAGTTTCCTGTTTTATTGTGAAGTTGCGTGTGTGTTCATGTGGTTAGTTTTACTCTCCCCTGTGTTTTCATTATGTTTAATTCTAGTCAGCTGTGTCCTCATGTGTTTCCACCTCCCCTGATCACCTCATGTGTGTATTTAAGTCCTCAGTCTTCCTGTGTTCAGCGTCACATCGTCTGTTATCCACATTATAGTAAATCATAGTCTGTCATTCAAGTCATTGTTTATCATAGTTTTCATGTTGCCATCAGCCATCAGCCAAATAAAGGCTCGCTTTTTGTTTGAATTCAAACTCTGTTCTCCTGTGTCTGCATTTGGGTTCGCATCTGAAGCACATCGGCTGCTCAGCCGTGACACCGTGACAGGACACGGACTAAATGAAAACCGTGCTGCAACACACAGATGTATAAAGTTCAATACACAATACCATTACAGCACATAACAACAGCTGACATAGCGTCAGAAAGTTTGGCAATTTAAGTTTGTTTTAAGCATAATTTGAAGACCGCTGGCTTGCAGATCAAACGTTAGAAGTGACAGTGATTTTCATCCACTGCACTGATACATGACGATAGATGAAGCACAATGAAGGTCATATTTTACAGTAACGATGAAATAATCAAATTAATTAAAGAAGTACCAGTCTGGAAACCATTAGGCTAGTCTGCTGACTGCCGGCAGCCAGCGGATATGTGTGCTAAGACTTCTGTTCTGTGCTCTGTTCATTGTTTTTGAATGCAGATAAATTGGGGGGAAAAAGCTAATAAAAAGTGAAATCATCATCAGATAACTGTGGTTATTAAAGACATTTTGGTACAGCCATTCCTCTTTGGCTCTCCATACAGACTGTTTACTTGCATGCAGCCAAAGCTTGAACATGCACTGCAAGCAGACTACAAATGGTATCCAGAAATATTCTTCATAAAATAAGTTTTTAGTGCATTTCAGAATGCTTAGCGGGGACCTATTGCACTAATTTGCACGTCTCTGTTTTTATTCCTAGACTAACTTTGTATAATTCAAAATAATCCTTATTTAGCTTCCCCTTCCCTTTGAGCCAGCTGTCTTCTGATTGGTTGCTGTTTCCAATCAAAATCTTTGAAAGACATGTTTTCTGGGCTTAGTGGTCACAAGCAGAGCTGTGTACCTGTGATGACCATATTAGGCAAATATTCTCTCACTGACATCAATGAGAGGCAGAAGTAGAAAAAACTGTCTGAAGGCTTCACACAACTGGATATTCTGACCTCATTATTTGAAACTTGATGGCTGATGTTTGTTATGAGCATTCGTATACAATATATGACTGAAAAGCTTCATCAGTTCTGTGCTACTATGTACGCAGAGGTTTTTAAAGCAGATGTATTGGTGGCTTAGCTCCTGGACCTGTGCACATTTAAACCTTCTACATTTAAATCTACTTGGCCCTCATCCTTGACTTCATCACGGTTTCCTCTGCCATGTTTATAGTGTTACTTTTAAACTTTGTTTTCTCCCTAGATTCACAGCTTTTGAAAGTTGAGCTTCCCGTATACTGCAACCTCAGACAGCACGCGCTCAAAGGCAGCCATTGATCTACCAGTCAAAAGCAAAGCCTTGGAACTGCTCTCTGATCAACCATCCCACTCACCCCCTCCTCTCTCCTCCCTCTCTCTCTATCTCCATCTCTTTCTGTTACCCTCTGTGGCAGGGAGCATCACTCCACGCATCCGAACTCCTGAAACTGGGTCAGACGACGCCATTAGGAATATCCTGGAGCAGGCTAAGAAGGAGATCCAGTCCCAGAGGGGTGAGGATGAAGCTTCGAGTCATAAGTCATAGTTAAAAGCCCTATTGATTGTTTGTTTTTGGTTTTCTATGCACAATGAGTTCTATTATGTATTTTGATCAGTACTTGAATGCATCTAGATTAGAAAGGAAAGGTGCTTTGAGTGTGCGTCAGTGTCAGCGTGTGTGTTTTTCTTGTTTAGGTGATGTCAAGTCATCTCTAAACAGCTCATCAGGCAGAAGCAGTAACGGGCCTGGCAGCAGCTCTGACGACACCATAAAGAGCATCCTCGAACAGGCCAGGAGGGAGATGGAAGCTCAGCAGCAGGCCCTGATGGAGATGGAAGTGTGCGGCAGGGCTTCGACTGCTAGCTCAGGAGTTCAGGTGGAACGTCTGGGGCCCCCCGAGCGCTCCAGGGGCCTGCCTTTACCCATCTCCATCAAGCAAGAGGAAGGGGGCTGCATTACAGTGTGCACAGCCAACCCCGTGAGCAGCCCCCAGACACCCCTCAGCGTCCTCTCCCCTGCCGCTTTCGTCCAGAACATCATCCGCAAAGTCAAATCAGAAATCGGCGAAGCGGGCACCTACTTCGATCAGCACTGGTCTCAGGAGCGGGGATCTATGGTGCTCGGCGGCGGAAGCAGCTCTCGGCCCTTCAGCTCGGTCTCCCCTTCCTTGTCTTCCTCCTCCTCCGGGCCCTCCACCTTACCCCGGCCGTGGCTGCGTCTGGAGAACGGCGAGGGTCTCCCCAACAGTGAGGAGGCCTCTGCTGCCGAGGACGAGCTGAGCCTGAGCCGGCCAGTGGAGGTGAAGGTGGAGTCAGATACCTCGGTAAGCGGGGAGTCCCCAGGACCCGGCCCGGGACGCCTTTCCTATTATCCAGCATATATCCCCCGTGCACTGAAGCCCACCGTGCCCCCGCTGACACCAGAGCAGTATGAGATGTACATGTACCGGGAGGTGGACACCATCGAGCTGACTCGGCAGGTGAAGGAGAAGCTGGCAAAGAATGGCATCTGTCAGAGGATCTTTGGTGAAAAGGTCAGATGTTGGCCTTTCACATTAAACGCATACTGCAAATGAAACAGCCTGCAAATACAAAAGAAGAAAAATTATATTTAGTTTAAACTTTTCAGATTTTCAGAGCATGTGAAATATTAGACTGAGGTGATCTCAGTAAACATAAAACACATTTTAATTATGTTAAAAAAAGAACATAAAACTCATCCATGTGGAAAAGTAATGGACTCCTTTTAAACCCAATAACAGGTCCCGACACTTTAGTAGCCGTATCTGCAGCTCAGAGCTTTGCATAATACGGCGCTGGTATTTGACGTCGCTGTGAAAGAATTTTAGCCCGCTCTTTAGAATTTCTTGCAGCAAACTTGACATAATGATGTGAAGTCTTGACATTATATGCCCTGTAAAAAAACGGTTAAAAGTTTGCCTTTTTATTACTTTCTGCATACAACATTGTCCTAAAAAGACTTCAGGTGCTTTTCCCCACATGTCAGACAGCAATAGATTCTGCTTTGCTGCTCTTCCTTTGAATCCTAGTTTCTCACATCTCTTTCTTAACCATCAACATTTTTAGCTGAGAGGCTTGCGTTTGGTTGAGTTGTCATTCGTGCCCTTGAAAAACCTTTTAGAGGCTGCCCGCAAGTTTTATCATACCACATTATTCTCCCTAGCTGTCACAGTGGTTTGGGAGGGCATCTGAGCAGCTCATCTCTTTCAGAGTTACATTTGTAGTGCAATGTGCTTGTGGGACTTTTGTGGTGTGAACCTGAGGGAAATACGGCTATTTTTTATTAATTAATTAATTTTTATCGGGTGTTCCTTAAACGAATAACATTATAATCTCAGTCTGGTTTTTACTGCTGCATAGCTGAAAGGTTCTGAGTTTGGATCTGTTGCTGGAACGTTCTTTCACTTTTCAGCCAAAGTCATCTTTTCAACAACTCTTTGCTGAGCGGAACGTGTTCGTTTTCCTTCACCCAGGTGTTATATTTTCTGTGACAAACACACAGAAGATTAAATCTTTTTTTTAAAAACGGTGTGTTTTTATTTGCATTTTCCCTGAAATGAACTACTGAAGACTCTGTATCGGTTTTGTTAGTTCAAGCCCCAGAAAGTGTGCCTTTATTGTCGGTAAAATCCCTCTGGGTGTCTTCCTAGGCAGCCTTTGTGATATATCACTTTATTCTGTCTGGAGTGGATAAAATATAACGAGTGTCACAAAGGTTTTTTTCGAGTAATATGAAAGGTGCTGTCTTCCTTCTCTGCTGTGTTGATATGACTGTTGTAAAATATCTTTAATGCAAGTCCCACTAAAGCTGAAGACGGTGCAGCAGTTTTTTTATTTTTATAATATACGATCATGTGGGGGAAAAAAGGAAGAAAATTTATCACTACAGAAATTTGCGCATTTGAATCGCAGAAATATAAATCACATATGAAAATAATCAAATATGAGGTGTGCTGCAAATCGAACTTAAACCTTTAAACAGGAAGATTTATAGTACATTGTCTCCCTCCAGTGGTTGTATGGGGAAAGTGCATGACCAAACAGATTTCCATCTTTCACAATAATAACTTGGAGCTTCAGTCGTTTCTGTGCAACATACACATTTGATGTGAGCAATGACATAGATAGTGTGTTTAATTAAAAGGTAAATATATCAACCAGTGTTTGTGTTCCAGGTGCTGGGGCTTTCTCAGGGCAGCGTGAGTGATATGCTGTCTCGGCCCAAACCCTGGAGCAAGCTGACCCAGAAAGGCAGGGAGCCCTTCATCCGTATGCAGCTGTGGTTACTGGATCAGCTAGGACAGAGCCTTAACCAGCCCCCAAACCAGGGCCACACTCAGGGTGAGTCTGCATTTCACAACACACGCTTGAGAATATCTAGACTGCTTGAGAAACTTTGCAACTAAAAAACCCCCCAAAAACACACACACAGCTTACATAGTCAACTGCGTGTATTTATTTGATTGGTGTGACTATTCTTTCCTACTTACAGATAAAAGCCCAGTGACGGCCCAGTCCTCACCATCCCCACCTCCCAGCCCAGCAGACAGCCACCCAAGTCCCCTGGTAGAGCCTGTGAGTCTCTCCATGGAGAGCAGTAAAGAGAACCAGCAGCCAGAGGGCCTGAGCTTGGGGTTGTCCACCCACCCAGAGGGAGTGAAATCCACTCCCAGCCTCATGACCTTGCATCAGCCCACAAACCCACTGGGCATCCAGGAGCTGGTGGCCATGTCTCCAGAGCTAGATACCTATGCCATCACCAAGAAGGTCAAAGAGGTGCTAACAGATAATAACTTAGGTGGGTCTGAGTTCACAACTTGGGATAAAAAACTCCCCAAAACACCTCTTAAAGACACCATGGCAATTATACACCTGTGTGTATTTGTTCTCCACAGGCCAGCGTCTTTTTGGGGAGACCATCCTGGGCCTGACGCAGGGCTCGGTGTCTGACCTGCTCTCCAGACCCAAACCATGGCACAAGCTCAGTCTGAAAGGCAGGGAGCCCTTCGTCCGCATGCAGCTGTGGCTCAACGATCCTCACAATGTAGACAAGCTGAGGGCCATGAAAAAGATGGAGAAGAAAGGTGGGAACCAGAGTCTACTCTGTAATATGACGGAGGACATGATTCTGACACGTTTGTACTCTGCATGTCATACTCTGCATGTCTCTGTCTGCCCTCCAGCCTATTTGAAGAGGCGATACGGCCTGCTGAGCACCGGCTCGGACAGCGACTCGCCCAGCACTCGCTCTGAGTGTGTGAGTCCGGCTTTGGCCTCTCTGGACTTGTGCCCCTACAGCCAGGCGAAGAAGCCTCGGGTGGTGCTGGGAGCCGAAGAGAAAGATGCCCTGAAGAAGGCCTACCTTTTAGAGCCCTACCCTTCTCAAAACACCATCGAGATGCTGGCGTCGCAGCTCAACCTCAAAACCAACACCGTCATCAACTGGTTTCATAACTACAGGCCAGTCCTTTGTAACCTTTACAGATGGCTGTTTTTGTTGTTTTTATTATTACTGTATATTTACTTTAGGTGGACAGCTCACACTACAATCAAAATCTGTTTTTTCTTCTCTGGCCTCCAGAGCTGTGTTGTCCAGTGTTGAAGAGAACTGCTATAGAGCCATTTCTTGAATAGTATGGCAAGAGACATTACAGAAATTTCATTTAGGAACTATTTTCTTTCTATTGTCTACATCCAGTAGAAAGAAAATAGACAAATAGACGTGTATTTTTTTTTATTTTTTTGAGTAATCAAGTCCTGATTTCTGAAATATAAAACCTAAAGAGCCAAAGCAAGAATATGTAAATCTAATTTTGTGATAAACTGTCTCTTACACTTCAACTGAAATCTGATTTAGAAAGTAAACTTTAGTCTCTAAAGTCTCTTTCAGTCAATGTCTAACTGTGGTATTTGTGTGCAGGTCCAGGATGCGACGGGAGGTGCTGATGGAGGGTCTGCCAGACAATGACACGGATGCTGAGCACCACAGCTACTCCCCCTCAGTGACACGGAGCCCTCACTCTGACGGAGAGGAGAGGAGGCTGCAGCAGCCCTCAGGACACATCCATTCCAGCCTTCCTCTTAGTGCCAACACCTCACTGCCTCATGTCAAACAGGAGGCATTAGACAGGGAAGACGACACAGAGGAGGGAAGGGAAAGCTCGGCGAAACAGTCCAGGGTTCAGTGTTTTCCAACAGCCGTGCCGCTGCCGCAGTTGAAAAGTGAGCACGAGGACTCCGTCGCGGGCTGTCGCGAGCCCCACTTGGCAGGCCAGAGCCTGAGGCAGGAAGAAGGTCAGGGTCTCTACCCTGGAGGGCTCTCCGTAGACGGCCCACAGAGAAGCAATCAGACCAGGCACGAGGGGGAAGACTCCGGAAAGTCACCCGTCGACCCGGTCAGTTTCAAGGCTTCGTCAGAGCCCTGCCGCAGCAGCCTGGAGGTCTCCCTCAACTCGCCCTCTGCTGCATCCTCACCGGGCCTCATGATGTCAGTCTCGCCCGTTCCCTCCTCCTCTGCGCCCATATCGCCCTCGCTGCCCAACCCTCCATCGACGAGCACCAGTCACAGCCTGGACCCTAACCCGCCCCCTCCCTTCCAAAGTCCCAAACTCAACAGGAGCACTCAGAGACGCACGGAGAAAATGGCCAACCTCAATAACATCATCCACAGGTTAGAGAGAGCAGCCAATCGAGAAGAGACTCTGGAATGGGAGTTTTAAGTCCACTTTAGGTGTATCCAAACCTTTGCGCCACACAGGAGAGTCTCAGAAGCTTCCTGACGTCTTTAAATGGAGCGTGGCTCCTGAAGGCCTGTCCTCCAAGAATGATAACTCACAGGAAATGGGAACACGGAGCTAATCATACGGTTGAATTCCCTACAAGAACTTGAGAGTTGAAAAAAAATTTATAAATGTGTATTAGTTTGTTTGTTTTTTTTCCTTTTGATAATGCATACTACTTTGAAATATATGTGACAGCACTAGCTGTCATTTTACCTATTGGACTTGACATGAAGACTTTTGCAGCTATGGTGTCATCAAATGTACACTGAAGTTCTGTAGATTGCCACTGGGTGAGATTAAAAGAAGACCCCTGTCTTAAGCCATTAAAAGCACTATAACTATTTGAAAAGAGACACTGACCAAATTTGCTACTTTTTGAATAGCAATTTTTCAGATTTTGTCTGTAAGACTGGACAGTTTAAGTCAAGTAACATGAAATCCTATTACTGACTGAGGGATAGTCCTTTAAGACTCTAAATATTCAACATCTTGTATGTACTTAGTTTCCTGGTGATATGTTTTGAAATATTTGTAACTCACTCGTATAAAATGTGGTTGTACATGTTGTAGAATTGTCTGCAATAGCCTTCTCTAAACCTGATGTAGCATGGTACTCACCTGACCCTGTTTATCCTCTGTAGTTAGTCACCTGTGATTATACTTGAGCGAAAACACGAGAAAAAAGAAAAAAGTTGAAAACCCTGCAAAAAATGCGAAAAAAAAAAAAGGAAATGTTAAACCTAATGAGTAGAGTACTTTTGAAGTGTTTTTGGTTTCTTTAGTTTGCTTTGAATAATCCTCGAGGTTTACAGTTTAGGGCCCTTGTGCTTTTGGTAGTGAGTGCAACAGTCACTTCGCACGAGCACAGTTTACACGATTTCTTTCTGACTTACCTCTCTGACGCTCTAAGGCACTGGTTCTCAGACTGTAACGGGCCAAGACACAGGACACCCAGTTTACCTCAGATTATGTTGATGCACATCATGCGACGACCATGCGTTCCATTCTTTTGCATAAACATGACGCACACTTGTTTGGACCGAGGGAGGGAAGGCGCTGGCGTATCATGCTTCGGGTGCGAGCTCACGCCTCAGAGGGTCAAACAATGAAGCGAGTGGTGGTGGTGATTGGGGGGCTGGGGGGCTGGGGGGTTATGAGATAAATCTGCTGCTGTTCGTCCCTTTGTATGTGTTATGGAGTAACACCCGATTGATTGCACATTCTGAAAATGTGCATTTTACTGTAAATTATACGGATCAAAACACCTCAAGCACTGAGATGCTGTTTAGCTAGGCCACCCCTGCTCTGTGTTGATCTACTTTGAGGCTGAAGTTCCCAGTGTTTAAAAGCATGATACGTACAGTGTGACCTCTCATCAGTCTGTAAGTACGCTATATTCAAGAACACAAAAGGTTACAGGTATCCCCTCATATTATCTTTGACCACGTGTGTATTGTGTCTGTAGACGTTTCTTTGTCATGCTTGCAAGATGTTCTTTATGTATTTTGCCTCTATTTTATACTCAGAACAGTTAACTAGATATTCAATACCTCGTGTATGAAGTACTTACAGCACTTAGATTTTTTTGATAATTGTGAGGACTCAAGAAAAATCTCAAATATCAACATTATCCTAACTTAGTGTCCACAAGTCTTTGCCTTTACTATATCGTTGAAGTTGGTAGTGAACACTTGCACATGTCTACATAGTTCAGAGGACTTGGATTGTATTATGTAGAGATATATATTACACAATTACTAAAAAAAATACTATCTTACATTCTTGGAACAAAAATGTGCTGATTATATTGAAATAGAGTGTACAGATTTAATAAACCAAACCCATTCAAGCCAGTTCTGGTCTGGCAAGCTTGCCCACGTTTTAGACCTTCTCTCAGGGTAGTCTTGCTTTTTAAAGCTTTATTGAAACAGTTGCTCTCATCAGTGGTGTTGAATATGAAAACTATGTGATGTGGAGAATGACTCCGTTAAATATTCGACGAACATGTGAAAGTTGTATGATTACGGGATTTTCGACACTCACACGGAGGGGAAAAAAAGCGGATTGTTAGAAAGTCGTGGCTGTTTTGTAATTCCTTACATGGATGTGTCAAAGTACAGTGTCGAGCGGAACCACCAGGATGAGGCTAAATGGGTTGCATTTTTTAGATCAGTAGACTTTGCTCTTGGAAATACTGTTTTGTTTTGTTTTTGTTTTGTTTTTGTTTTTTTTCTTGGAGCCACAGAAGATTTCTCTCTGGTTTTCTTACCATCATATTTTGTGCATAATATACTGTATGATTAGAAGTGGCATTTCTTATGTGAAAGCTTCATTGTTTCTCAAGGTAACATGGACATATGGCTGAAAATGAAATGTATTTACCCAGACCATTATCTCTTCATGTAAAGCTCATCTCATTGTTTTGCATGCAAATCCATTCTGCTCACACAACAAGGGATAGACTGTTTTTGTGTTATTGTTCTTGCACAGGGACATTGAATCAGCACTTGAAGTCTTTTTGTATTAGGGAAGTCCACACATGGTGCAGCTGAGAAATTTGGCTCTCACAAACTTGTCAAGATTATGGTCAAATCAGAACCTGAGACTGGCCCTACAAACGTTATACTTCCAGATTTATTTTGTGCCATATCACCTGCCCCATGCATTATCCTCATGGAGAAATGCCTTGTGGTGAAGTCTGTTCTGAGAGCGGTGTAGGGCTTTTTGTAAGTACAGAAAAAAGCAAAGCTTTTTCTATATCACAATAGCCCTGCACAGTAGATGTTTTAATTTTATAACTGACTTCAGTCACTAAATAATGGAGAAACTGATTGATTGGCAAAACTTGAATAAATGCATTAAGATTTGCTTATATAAAAAAAAATCTGGCACCGAGGGTTTGTCACCAAGGGAAGTTGTCATTTATAAGTCAGCTGTGGGCCAATCGAAAGAAGCATCCTTCAGGCTTAGATAACTGTCTGATGCCTCACGTCAGACTATTAATTGTTAAAGAATGGACAATGATATGCCAAGCATCTTGGAAATGAAATTGCATAGGCTGTGTAAGCCATCAGTCAATACATAATTGTTTAAGATCCTGCTGTGTTGTGTTTTTATTTATTTTTTTATTTTATAATGAGCAATGAGCGCTCCAGACATTAACATACAAAAGTTACTGCAAATTCATGTGCATATATAAAACCTTACACTGTAGCGTGCGTCCCTAACTAAGTGTAATCATTTGCACTCTTCTCTTTCAGTGAAGGAAACACTTCATCTTTCCTATTGAATTCAGGGTCATTCATGTCCACTATATTAAGCATACGATGATACTTGGGCAATTGTGGATCTTATAAATATGACAATAAACACCACTGGATTTTCAAAGAAAAGCCAGTCAAACAAAGTAGACTGAATGTTTATTTATTTAGGAAAATGACTCACTATTACATTCATTAATATGAACTTCTAGGAATAAGAATAATGCTTTTGGATTTCTTCAGATTGAATGAATGTCACTGATGACTAAATGTCATTGAGTTCAAACATCTGACTTCTAATTTCATTCACCAATCAGATATATAACTACATATTTTACTTTAGTGTGTAAAATTAGCATATATAATATAGTGTCCCATTTGTTTAATTAGATGTTCTCTATCTGCTTATAAGACGTTTGAAAATCGATGATACTTGAGATCGCCTTTCTACCTAAATACAAAAAAGAAAAAAAAAGTTTTAAAACTGTTGTAATATTAATTTATCAGGCATCCCACTTGCCAGTGTTTACATGACATACCGTGTGGCTGAGCCCCTCCCCTTTTCCAGAGAACCGCTCTGACGCGATGACGTCACTCACACGTAGGGCTCTTTAGACGAGAGAGTTCGCGGCGATGGCGACGACGGCTCGGTGTTGGAAAGGGACGCAGTGAAGCTGGCCTCGGCTCTGGTATGATTCATGTTCATGTTGGACACGTTGTTTTAATGTTTGGTAATTGCACAAGTTCCGGATGAGTCTTTGTCGTCTAACACCTCAGCACTCGTTTGACTGGTGAGTCCGCCGGTTGTAGTCGTTGCTCGGTGTGTTTTGACAGAGGCCTCCGCTCTGGGGTCCGCCCTCCATCTCATAACAACAAAAACAGTTGCAGAAAGCAGCTTCAGCCTAACCAGCTAGTGCTAGCTAGCAGATCTACGCGCTGCTCTCTGTCACGGCTTTTAATGCCAAACGTCGAGTGTTAAGAGACCGCTGCATAACACTTCACTGTCTGCCAGCAAATGTTAATTTCCACTGTTTGCATGTAAATAGCTCTTCGACTGAGCGTTAGCTCGCTAGCATTATTTTACGCTGTCGAGTGGTTGTTGATGAACACTGGTTAGCCAACAGTTTACATTACATGGCTGCAGGAAAAACTAGCTAACCGCTATTCAAAAATAAAAAACAAAAAACGAAAGAGCAGTTACTTGACTTAACAACCTGTTAGTACAAGAAACGTTAGCCATTTTCTTTTTTTCCCCTTGCAAACGGCTTTTCGTCAACTAGCAACGTGTTAATGTAACGTTGCAGAGCACTTGCGAGAAGCATTTGTTTTTGGGTTGACCGTAGCTTATTTTTTAGTGGCCAAAACTACCGGTATCTTTACATCGAATACTAACTAGTTGAAATAACATTAACTGGTGATTAATTAAGTCTAGTTTACTTCACCGTAGTGAAGTAAAAGGTAACGACAAAGTGTTAAAATTGAGCTGGGAAATCCCTTTCCCCAAATACGAAGTTAGCCAAGGCTTTTGCGTTTATACACTGTTTAGCAGCGCTGTTCAGTATGGCTACCGGGCTGTAAACGCAAAGCTCCGCTGTCAAACGTGTTGGTTCATTGTCTCGTTTCTTGTTTTTTCCTTATATCATTTCGACGCTAGAGTGTCGATAATTTTACCACTTGTGAAAATGACTGGCCTGTCACGGGTTAGGAGTAAGGTTAAGGCTCTAAGGGGCTTAGACTTTTCTGTGTGACTGCTGAACTGAGAGCCAGACTGAGCCGTAGCCACGGGTCACGAGCGGGCTGCAGTAAACAGAGCCGTGTGTTGGGCAGATATGCTTTATCAGGTAGCAGCAGCAGTAAAAGTTGGCCTCTACTCTCAGTGAAGTAATGACCTCGTTTGCCTCCTTCACACCTCTCTCAATGACCGGAGATACTTTTGGCAGTACAGCGGGATATTTTGTCTTCTTTCTGTCTCCAGGCTGCTTAAATGTTCCTGAGAAGGTGTGTTGCTCTCCTGAGCTGCCCCTCCACTGACCCTCTTAGATCAAGTTTCAGTCTTTGCAAGCGTAGCTGACCTTTACAACTACTTGTGGGCCTGTTTGCTGAGAGATCCTAACGGGTTGCCTTTTGAAAAGTGATGTTAGAGGATATCGATAACGGAATGTAAGAAAAAGCTCTTTATTGATGGTTTACATGATCTGACCAACAAAGCTGCTGCTGCTTTTACTGTTTTTGATAAGTTGCATTTCTTTTGCTCTTTCAAGGGCAATCTGGGTAGGAACTTGAAAACTTTCAGCGACTGGACAAGTCCTGCAAGGTCTTTGGCTCTGCTTGGCCAACCCTTTGGGCAAATTACCAACTATTGTTGGGTAGTTGAACCACAAAGCACAATTCATTGAACACTAACATTTCTGATTTCTTTCACTACCCTTTAAGAACCTCAAAATGTGACTGTATGTTCTTAAATATGTATTGTGCACATAATTGTTAATTTTTTATTTTTTTGAAGGTGAACATTAGTCGATCAGTTCACGTGCCTGAACCATGTCTTTATGCAAGCTAAACTGTAGGCTCGGAGAACCAGCTGGCTTATTTTCCAGTCTGCAGTACAGTTTTAAGTGGTATCTGAGCTCACATGCAAGCCACTGTGACCACCAGGGCATCTATATTTGCCAGTGAATCAAAAGAGCTTCTGTAGCTTGTGTGTCTCAGTACGGAGAAGCATTTTCTCATTATTCACTTTCATTTCCACAGATTTCCATGTCTTACTTGTGAGAGTTTCCACACAGGATATCAGGTCTGCTTATCATCCATTAGTGATTGTTTGTGGTAAGTCTAAAAATCTATGTTTTCACATTTTGTTCATTTTCTTCAA